ATGAATTTAGATTGTACCCTTCTTAACGCTAGGATTGGGTGTTGATGATATGTTCTTATTGCTTCATAACTATAAAGATGTGCATCATACTGTTAAAAATAATGAAATTGGTATATTATTTTTATTTTTTTTTTTGCAAAATCATTTTATGTAAAATAAATTTGCATAATTTAAATTAACATTATTTCAGGTATATTAATGAAAGAAACTGGTATGAGTGTGGTTATTACTTCAATAAATAATATCATTGCATTTATGGCTGGCACACTTCTTCCTATTCCAGCGTTAAAATCATTTTGTTCACAGGTAAATCATTTACTATTTAAATTAGTTGTTTATTTTAGGAGAGAAATTCATTTTCTCAACTGGTTCTTCAGTTTCAATTACATTTATTATCCATTCATATCATTTTAATTAATTGATGACCTTTAGATACCTTAATTTTTTGACTATCCCTAGGTAGTTTAATTTTTTTATCAACTCTAGAAATTTCAAATTTTTGACATCTTATCATTCTGATTGATAATTTCATCATGCAGGCATTTTTCAATTTTGTTTTTATGTATGAGTTTTTTTTTTTTTCGGAAAATTTAGTGCAAATGAGGATACGTTAATAATTAACAAAACTTTATCAGTGAATTTATTATAGCATTCTAATTGAGAGAAATGCAAGAAATACAACGATAAAATTTATTTAAATAAACTTAATCGTTTTAGATTCTTATAAAATAGACACCTCAAACTCATGAAAATATATTTTTTTAAAAAAAAAAAGATTATGTGAAAGAAATTTCACTGAAAAAAAAATGCTGAAATGATTGATTTAGTTTAAGGATGTTGTTGTTGTTTTTTTTTTAAATTTAGTGATTTGTTTCAAGCGATGATTTTTAAAATATTGTTAAAATATGAAGGAAAGAGGAAGTAAAAAGTAAAGTTTTATCTTTTTCTTCTCTTTTTAAATTGCAGACAGCGATTTTATTGACATTCAATATGATTGCAATTATGATAATCTATCCGGCGATGATCGCACTTGATTTACGACGACGTCGTGTTAATAAACGAGATTTAGGTTGTTGTTGTATGGGACGAAGTTCTGTGGATGCCAAAAAGGTTATTTATATTACAAAAATAAATAAATTTCAATTTAATTGATTGTTTTAAAAAGTGACTTTTCGGCTTATGCAATTGAATTGGTTGATTTTTCAAAAGTTATTTGAAATTTTAATTGAAATAACTTTCACACCACTTGTTTTATTCTAGCTTAGGGTGGAAACGTTAGAATTAAATATGGGAAAACGAGTGATAGGAAGTTTACTGACAGCTAATCACATCTATCCTGGTCCACCACCTTCTTTATTGCTAAAGAATGATGATGACAAAAAGAAGAAATGGTATACGTTAAGTGGATTTTTGCAGTATTATTACATCCCTTTCTTGACTATACCTCTTACAAAGGTTAGTTAAGTATTAATTAACATTATAAATGATTTAATTTTTACAAAAGAATTTTATCATTTAAAATTTGTAAATCAATTAGAAATTTAACTATATATTAATAATTGTTCGATAAATGAATTAACATTTAACGTTTAGTTGATGGTAATTGTAATGTGCACATCAATGTTATTAATTAGCTGTCTTGGCCTTTATCAATCAAGTCTTGGATTGGAACTATCTGATGTTTTACCGGAAGGAACAGCTCCAGCTGCATTTTTGAGAGCAAGAGAGAAGTATTTTAGTTTTTATCCGATGTCTGCTATTTTAAAAGGCAATAAAATCAATTTTCCGGAACAGCAAGAACAAATCGAGCAGTATCGCCTGGACATCGGTAAAAATTATCACAAATTATTTATTAATTTTTATTAATTCAAAGAAAAAAAACGATTAAATGTCTCATTTGTTTTCATTTTTAATCTTCCATAAACTCTCTCCATTTAATATGTTATTTTTATCGATTTAGCCATATATTGAAAGCATTAATATTATTGTAGCAAAATCAAATTACGTGATCAAAGTGAACGGCCGGCCAAGTGAAGAGTATTGGATGTCACTTATGAGAACGTGGTTGAGTTCACTTCAAAAGCACTTAGATAATGCTATCAAAAAAGGTGATGTAAATGCAATTACTGGTGAATTGAAGGTTGACAGTAAAATTACCGATGAAACAAAAATTGCACGACTTCTCGTTTGTTCATACGGAGATAATTATAATTGCACAGGAAGAGTAAGTATTTATGAGATATTTACCAAATGCAATTTTATTTTCAATTCAAATTAATTATCTTCTTTAAATATGCTAATATATAATCGGTCTATTTTCTGTTCCAAATCTTGACAGCACTTTTGCACAATTGATATCTGTTATATTTTGACATGAAATCAATTAATACATTACATGAATGGGATTTATTAATATCGATTAAAATGATTTATTTTTAGATTAGCACTATAAAATTGGTGAATGATGCTGGTTTGATTAATGCCGACGGCTTTTACAATTATTTAACCGCATGGTACAATCTTGATAACATGATGTATTATGT